GACCAGTGTCGGGCCACAGCCAGGCAGCTGAAGTGGGTCAGGAAACCGCAGAAGCTTCCAGAATCCAGCTCACAGCCCACTGCTGAATGAGCCACACACAGAGCAGAGAGCATTCGTGTCTCCTACCTCATGCTCTTTGGAGCTCTGAGCACCAGGGTTGGGCTTAATAAGGATGATCTTAATGGCATGTAGTAAACGATACCTCATTCACGCACTTCCCAGCAATGCTAAACTACACTAAGCTAGGGAAGTCCATCGAACGGATGAAGTACATTTCAATGTGTCTTAGTCTTGAGCTTTTTTTCTACTGAAGTTTTACAGTCTCGTCAAATTCAAAGTAAATTGCTGCCTGTGTATTGCAAAGGTGGACGCTGCTTTTAAAGTCCGGACTCCTCTTCCTTTACATTTTTCACAAAGGTCAAGCCCCTCTCTGGCCTATGGACAGAGCTTCCATTAGACAGAGAACCTGTTTGTTTCGGTCATTTCTTCGCTACTCCCAATCGGCCACCCTGCCCTTTCCTGTGCCATGGAGAACTTAGAAGGAGAGATCCAGAGGCAGGGCTCTCATCTCCCAGGACTTAACTCATCAGTTAAGGTCCTGAATTCTATGCCTTGGGCACGAGATGGCCCGGGAACGATCGTGTGAAAAGCAAGGACAATTCTAAAGACAAGCTAAGAACCAGCTCAAATCAAAGAGCCAAGGATGCCACACAAAGCCTGGAACTTCTCACAACGCTGGACTAGGCCACCGCTGGCCACCTGGGACCTCACTTACGAGTCACCGGCTCCTCCCTTTGACATCTGTACAGCCATCCATTCCATGCTAATTCATGTTACATACTGTTTCCGGATACACAGCAGAATACCGCAGGCCACTGCATGTACGTTTTAAACGTTGTCACATACACTGACTAGAGCTGACACATGCATCTGTCCTGTGCGTTCCAGCCACCTGTGTGATACTGAGGGTTACGTCTACGTAAAGCAACAGAGAGGTGGAAATGACCGCACGCACTTGGCAAGTTCAAGGTTTCAAGCGGTGAAAAGAAAGTGTCTTACTTATACCCTGTCAAAGCCATCCCGGTCCCCGCTGCTGCTTCCTCCCGCGGAGTCCCAGGGAATTCGCCACACAATGTAATCTCAGTTTACGTGTGAGTTTGCTCCTGCTTCCGTGTTTCCGATACCGCTGTTTGAGCTCTTTCTTCCTGACAAGCCACTGCTGCTTTGAGGTTTTATCTGTGAGATTCGTGTCTTTGGGGCTCATTAGCAACATTTCCAGAGATTACAATGTCAACAGCACCTAATTACTGGTCTGTGAGAAAGGTCTTCTTGAGTACATAAAATCCGGGGCCAGGCCCGGTGCACAATGGGTGGCTCAGATCCCCAATTTTATCACCACTAAGTAGCAAACAAATTAATAATGCTACCTGCACGCTCGCAGGACAATTACTGCTGCTAAAAGCAAACGGCTCTGAAATTTGGCAAAGTGGTGTCCCTCATTTCTTATTTCCGAATAGTACCAAGGACTGGTTCCTGTGTTGCAGGAATGACCCTGTTGCTCTCCTTAGCCCAAGTTTCCACTCTGCTTAGGAAGGACGCAGCCTGGTGTTAAAGGATTTTTTAAAAAATATTTTATTTCACTTAATTTTGTTCTAACGCTGGATGTTATCTTGCGCTTAGGCCCAGCAGAAAGTGAGCTGCTAAAGAAGCAAAGGAAAGCCTGGTTCTTTCAACGTACGAGGTCCCACTGCTCGGGCTGCGCGGCTCACGTGGAGGGCTTGGCGCGGACACGCCAGGCTCCCCTGGGGACTATACTGGGGACAGCCCTGCAGGGATTGGACAGGCACGGCACTCACATCCTACCTGGGATTCTACCCGTGGCGCGTGAGGTGGGCCTCCTTCCGCACGCCACCAGGCAGAGGGCATGGAGGTGACGTCACCACAGAGTCTGGAGTTCACTGAGACTGGGACCGCAGTCCCCAGGGCCCGTGCCTGCCCTCGCTGCGGCATCACCTACTGCCCTTCTGTGAGAGTCGTTGGACACAGGACAACATGCTGTCACGCGCGAAGGCTTGGGGCAAGTTAGAGTACCCGGATCCAGTCCCTAGCTCCTGGCTTCGGCCTGGTCCAGCACTGGCCACTGTGGCCATTTGTGGAGTGCACCAGCAGATGGAAGCTTGCTCCCTCTCTCTCTCTCTCTCTCTCTGTAACTCTACCTTTCAAATAAATAAATAAATCTTCAAAAAAAAAAAAAACTTACTTTGTTGTAAAAGGTGTTGAAATCCACACATGTGGGATCTTCAAAAAGTTCATGGAAAATGCATGTTATTAAAAAAGCTATGCAGATATTTCTATTTTTTGCATCAAAATTAAACTTCTCTTCGAATTTCATTTTCTATGAATTTTTTGAAGAAATTTAGTTTTCCCTCGGGCCTGAAGAGGGCACACACCTTTCCTGCAGTTACATCAGGAACCCATTGGTCCTCGGAAAACCCCCTGGGCACTGTCCAGGCCAGGCCATCACCCTCCCTCTTTCTTTTAAAATAGTTATTTATTTGAAAGGCAGAGAGAGAGAGAGTCTCTCATCTGCTTGTTCACTCCCAGATGGCCACAATGGCCAGGGCTGGGCCAGATTGAAGCCAGGAGCTTCTTCTGTGTCTCCCACGCGGGTGCAGGGGCCCAAGGACTTGGGCCATCTTCTACTGCTTCCCCAGGCCGTAGCAAGGAGCTGGATCGGAAGTGGAGCAGCCAGGGCACAAACCAGTGCCCACGTGGGATGCCAGGGTTGCAGGTGATGGCTTTACCTGCTATGCCACAGCGCTAGGCTCGGGTCTCCTCTTTCTAAGGGGATGAATCCTTACTCCCCACACTAGAACCTTAGTGACGCAGCTTTGCCCCGGCACTGCTTACTTATTTTAGACAAGTGGATTAACCAGAACCAGTTAACTGGAAACTTTTGTGAACGAGAATTACTTCCTGAAAATATCTTCAGGAGGAGGAAGGTGGCTGGGGGCTGTGTCAGAGCCCTCTCTGGAGACTCCCTGTGTGAACACTGCCACGCTGGCCACCCTGCCAGGCACAGCAAAGAGCCCTGCAGTAGTGCGGGTCGTCAAAAAGCCTTTACGTTCCATTGCACCGGCAAAGCCAAAAAAAAAAAAAAAAAAAAAAGTGAACGAATGAAGTTAGGAGGGTTTTCAGTGGACAGAGAGGAAGTGACTTTAAATCTTGCATTTTCAGGGCTGAGGTCAGCAAGTCGCAGTGCTCGTCTTGGCTGTGGCTGCCCTACATGCCAGGCACCCCTCAAAGTCATTGGTGTTACTTCAAGCGGAAAGATTTGAAAACTGAGTCGCTTGGTTGTGGAAAGCCAACTGTGGATGCAAGACCCTCCACTGTGTTTTTGAGCAGCGGGACAGTGCAGCTGAGCACGGATTCTGAAGCCACATTTTTACAGCAAGGTGGATCGGGGGTAACTTCCCGGACGGGTTTGAACTGTTGAGAAGTCCGGAGATGAATCAGTTTGGTTTAAATGCCAGTGCCTTCGAAGCTTGCTGCCTCGTAAGCTGGCCCATGTGAGCGGTGAGTCCAGTCTCAGTGTCACTGTGACCTAACGGCCGGCTCGGGGGAGCCAGCCGGGGCAGCCAGCCACGGTGGCTTAAGGTTCCTTTATACCCAGCGTGGCCTCTGCAAGCAGACATACGAGCCCTGGAAAAGCCGTCTCCATGCACAGAGGCCCAGGGAGGAGACAGGTTCCTCCCTGCTCAAGTGTTCAAAAACTGGAGAATGTAGGGACCCACGATTTAAACTCCTATCACACTCTTCACACTCTCTTCTTTGCATAAGACGCATTATGTAACCTACCTTTAAATGTTCCCCTGCTCTTTGGCCATCATCAATAATCATTCGAACTAATACCGTCAGGGTTTGCTAACCCAACATGCTTCTTACAACCCATGAAGATTAATACGCTTTAAATGATGAGTCCCTGGGCGCCTGTGTTGTGGTGCAGTGAGTTAAGCCACTGCTTGTAAGGACAGCATGCCATGCGGGAGTGCCGGTTAGATTCCTGGCTGCTCCGCTTCCGATCCAGCTCCCTACCAGTGCGCCTGGGAAAGCAGTGGAGGATGGCCCAAGTGCTCGGGCCCCTGCACCCACGTGGGAGACCCGGATGGAGTTTCTGGCTCCTGGTTTCGGCTTAGCCTAGAGCCGGCTGTTGCAGCCATTTGGAGAGTAAACTAGGAAATGGGAGCTCTCTCTCTTTCTCTCTCTCTCACTCTTACTTTCTTTCTCTGTGTCTCCCATTCTACGTTGCCCTGCCTTTCAAACACATAAATAAATCTTTTCAGAAGATGATGCATTTTTGGGGTGGGCTTTGGGTGCTGTGGTTAAGACATCACTAGGGCCACCTGCAGCCCAGCTTCCTGCTAATGCACGCTCTGGGAGACAGCAGATGGCGGCTCAGGTAAAGGGGTTCCTGTCCCCTACATGGGCCCTAGACTGAGCTCCTGGCTCCTGGCTTCGACCTGGCCCAGCCCTTACCATGGCAGGCTTTTGAGGGAGTGAATCGGCAGATGGAGGCTTTCTCTCTCTCTCTCCCTCTCAAATGAAAATAAAGACGTTCTTTCAAGTTACTTTATCCCACCCTGGGGACCCTCAGGGGCACTGCTTGCACAGTAGACAGTTAGGCGCTGGGCACCGGCAGAATGTAACGAGAGCTTCGGGTTTGCTGGTGGTTTAATGAGCCAGAAATGGGACTCGCGCTGAGACAGGATCTGGCTCTGAAGTAGGACTGAACTCCTTCCCAGGGAGCGGCCATTCATTCGAACTACACGTCGGTAGCCTGGGCTTCGGCCTACCTAAGCTTCGAGTGATGGCCTGGCCGAAACAAGTCCCCCATGCACCCAGGGCGCGAAGGAAAAGCAAAGTCAGGCCGGCCGAGGGCTGCGCTGAGTGGGGGCCCCACCTCCGAGCACGAGCCCCACCTCCGAGCGCGAGATCCTTACCTTTGGGCAGAACAGGGATGGACACCGGCTCGTCGACGTCCATGCACTCAGCATCTACCTATGGGTCAACCAACAGGCCCGTTACTAACGTCCAAGACGGCCAACGGGGCGCATGCAGTTTCTTCATTAAACGAAATTTTAGTTCACTGTCAGAACACAGGCTCTTGGCCTCTCCTCCTTGCCATTTGTATGAGGGCCTGAGAGAGAAGGATCCCCTGGCTTTGCCAACCTTAGAGGAGTCTCTGGGAATCTCACCAGCAGCTGGCCCTTTGCCACCAACCCCCAGCACACAGAACACCATGGTTTTCCTGCCTGGGGGCCCAGCCACCATCACTGGGCGTGAAGGCTGCACTTTCCTTGCTGCTATATATATATTTTTTAAATCAGGGTCCAGCTGATGGCTGTGGTTAAGCGCCTACTTTCTCCCTTTACACAGGAAGCGCCTCCACCAGGGTTGGCCTCCTGGGCTGTGCCCAACCGCACTGGCTCGTGCTGCTTATGGGGGCGGGGGGGTCACTCCTGGTCCTATCCCAGCACCGTGGAAACTGACACCTGCCCTTCCTGCTACTGCCACAGGCCTGGCCTAAGAGATGTTGAACGCAGAAGGGCCCAGCTACCTACCGAGGACGCGCCATGATCGCTGGACGACGGTGTCGTGTCAACCAAGTTCACCTTAGACTGCACGTACAGAGGCTTCACCTTCTGAAAGACACGGAAGGCGCGCCCTGGGTGACAGAGAGCCAACGGCGGTCACGACACACAGGTGTCAACAGGTTCCACCCTCAGACAGCCAGGACATGCTGACTGCTCCTGAGTGGCTCCAGGCTGGCTGGGGACATCCTGTCCTCCTAACCAGCGGGCCCTCGGAGAGAAAACCCAAGAAAAACGTGTCCCTCGGTGCCTCCTCAGACCCACCCTCCTCCTCATCGTCCCTGCCGTGGGGAACCTACGGCCGTCGGCCCCTGGCGTCCGCACCTTCTGCACACACAGATCCAACCCATCGCAGGTGCCAAATACTCAGAAAAAAAAAAAAAAAAAAAACCTGCGTCTGTGCTGAACTTGTTCAGACTTTGCAATCTGCTGTTACTCCCTAAATAAGGCACTGCGACATTTTGCGTAGCGTTCACATTGCACTGGGTGTTGTACGTAGTCTAGAGGTGAGGCAAGGGCAGCTCACGCAGACTGCACCACTTCATGGAAGGCACTTGTGTATCTCTGTATTTGGGGGCCCTGAAACCAGGCACCCGTGGACAAGGGTGGACGAGCGACCACTCTTGGACCTGGCCGGGACTCACGAGGCCAGCCCCCAGCAGCCCTCGCTGCTGGAAGGCTCCGTGACGCTGTCCTCAATCCCACGAACTGACAGGTAGAGGGGAGGGGACACCTCTTCCTGGACTGCAGAAGCAGCTGGTGCAGACAGGCCTGTCCCCGACACCAGACCCTGCCCCGCTGGTGCAGACAGGCCTGTCCCCGACACCAGACCCTGCCCCGCTGGTGCAGACAGGCCTGTCCCCGACACCAGACCCTGCCCCGTGAACCGCGCCCATGCACGTGCACGCTGGGAAGGCCAAGGGCACACCAAGCTGATCCAAAGCAGGCTAAGGAGCACGCACAGACCCTCGGGATTTGTGTGACGTCTTCTCTAGCCGGGGCTCCTCTCCTCGGTTTACACGTATGTGCGTATGTGTGCACATATGTGTGGCTGCCTGCATTTGACTCCCCCCCTAGCCCATTCTCTTTTTGTTTTCCCTTAAAATTTTTTAATATTTCATATTCAATATTTTATGTGGGTATTTTATTTGGATATGATGGTGAACGCTGCAAATTTTCCCTTAAAATTTTTTAATATTTCATATTCAATATTTTATGTGGGTATTTTATTTGGATATGATGGCGAACGCTGCAATCTGGGGCCTGTGTTTTGATTTACACTGATGGTGCTGTGTGAACTCCTGCTTTGTTGATTCTAAGACACTCTTCTGAGAGTTGAGCACCCCTAAAATCGCGATGTGTCTTATGCTCCACATCTCCCCTCCACTCTGCAAGGGGGCCCAAGCCTCCTTCAGCTCCCATCTGCATCACCCCCGGGGCTTCCCTCCCACGCCCACCCCATGGCTGCTGATGCTGTCCTTCAGTGAGGTGGCCTTCCTCCTCTGCCCACAACTCTGGAATGCTCCCCGTTTTACTGGGAGTGAGACATCCACACCCCGCGCCTCCCTCAGCGCGTGACTCACTGCTCTCACCCCTGCCTGCGGGCGCTCAGACACGACCAGCACATGCCTACCTCAGAGCCTTGCCCTGGCTGGAAACCTATCTCCTGACTACAGAGGGCTCCTTGCCTCCCTACCTGCCAGTCTTTCATGGAAACAATGGAAGAGGCCATTGTGGGCACCAGCGCTGTGGCATGGCGGGTAAAGCTGCCGCCTGCAGTGCCGACATCCCATATGGGCACCGGTTCAAGTCCCAGCTGCTCTACTTCCAATCCAGCTCTCTGCTGTGGCCTGGGGAAGCAGTGGAAGATGGCCCAAGTCCTTGAGCCTCTGCACCCACGTGGGAGACCCGGAGGAAGCTCCTGGCTGCTGGCCTCAGATCGGTGCAGCTCCGGCCGTTGAGGCTAGTTGGGGTGTGAACCAGTGGATAGAAGACTTCTCTCTCTCTCTGCCTCTCCTTTTCTCTCTCTGTAACTCTGACTTTCAAATAAACAAATCTTAAAACACACACTAAGGGCCCCTCACAGCTCCCGTGGAATCCCGGCCCCCATTATGTCCAGGGCCTCGAGTCTGAGCCTGCGTCTGAGCTTCAACTCCTGGCCCGCCCTGCTCTCCCGAGAAGTGAGCGTTCTCTTCCTGTAATAAACCTTTGCCGTTCTACTCAGGATCTGCGCGAGCCTCCCTCAGTCCATCGTCTGAGGCTCCCAGAGCCTGTCCTGGCCCTCGCCTTCCTACTCCCTGCTCCTACAGCAACACAATCCCCAGCTGAGTGTGGGATTTGGCTGCAGAGACAGAGACCACTTTTCTCCGTGTCTCTCCTGATTAGATGCAGGGCCAGGTCTAGGGACAAGAGCGGGAGTGATGTGTCCCACTGTTGGGCCGTGTGCTTGAGGATAAACCTTCTTCCCTCTTCTCTCTTTGTAGTCTCCACACGCACAGGGGGACTGGCTGCATTCATTCACGAGGATGAGACAGAGGCCCTGGGATATGGCTGAGCAGGAAGACTGCGGGAACCTGGGCATGATTTCGTGGGATTCTGCTCTTCGTGGCTCACTGGCCTGCCCAGAGCTGCTCACCATAGTGCTGGGCCCCTGTTCACATTTCTTCAGTGTTGCTATTTCATTTTGTTTTAGCTGTGAAATTTTTTTTTTTTTTTTGACAGGCAGAGTGGACAGTGAGAGAGAGAGACAGAGAGAAAGGTCTTCCTTTGCCGTTGGTTCACCCTCCAATGGCCGCCGCAGCCGGCGCACCGCGCTGATCTGAAGGCAGGAGCCAGGTGCTTCTCCTGGTCTCCCATGGGGTGCAGGGCCCAAGTACTTGGGCCATCCTCCACTGCACTCCCGGGCCACAGCAGAGAGCTGGCCTGGAAGGGGGGCAACTGGGACAGAATCCAGCACCCTGACCGGGACTAGAACCCGGTGTGCCGGGTGCCGCAGGTGGAGGATTAGCCTAGTGAGCCGCGGCGCCGGCCTGTGTGTTATTTTTAAAACCTATGCATGGATTTCAAAATCTTCTGCTCTGAAACAAACATTTTTAAAGTTTTGTTTATTTATTTGAAAGGTAGAGTGACAGAGAGAGATCTTTCATCCACTGGTTCACTCCCCAAATGCCCACAATGGCCAGGGCCCAGCCAGGCCAAAGCCAGGACGCAGCACTCCATCTGGGTCTCCCCGGGAGTCGCAGGGACCCGAGTACTTGGGCCGCCGCTGCTGCTTCTCAGGACGCGCGCTAGCAGGAAGCTGCCCTGGAGGCAGAGGAGCTGGGACTCGAATCAGCCCTCCCACGAGATGCTGGAGTCTCACGCAGCCGCTCAACCCGCTGCATTTAATTGTGTTTCTGCACAAACTTTTTGAAGTACCTGTGTATGTGAGAGTTGGGGAGAAAAAAGACTTAAACCTGTAGATCAGAGGGCGTCATTTTATTCAAGGGAAGTGAACAAAATAATGCTTGTTTACTCAAGCTCTAGTGACTACTTTGAATTTCTAGGCCAAAAAAATAAAAATAAAAATAAGGCCCAAATAACCAAGCTGGCGAGGAGGCAGATGAATCGGCAACATACAAAACTAAACTGGCCTTTGTCATGTCGGGACACGGCAAAGTGAAGACAACTTCCCTTCGAGAGAAACAGAAAGACAGCAAACACACGGTCCAGTTTATAAGAAATAAATCATGGCTGGCGCCGCAGCTCAATAGGCTAATCCTCCACCTTGCAGCGCCGGCACACTGGGTTCTAGTCCCGGTCAGGGCGCTGGATTCTGTCCCGGTTGCCCCTCTTCCAGGCCAGCTCTCTGCTGTGGCCAGGGAGTGCAGTGGAGGATGGCCCAGGTGCTTGGACCCTGCACCCCATGGAGACCAGGAAAAGCACCTGGCTCCTGCCTTCAGATCAGCGCGATGCGCCGGCCGTGGCGGCCATTGGAGGGTGAACCAACGGCAAAGGAAGACCTTTCTCTCTGTCTCTCTCTCTCTCACTGTCCACTCTGCCTGTCAAAAAAAAAAAAAAATTCACAGCTAAAACAAAATGAAATAGCAACACTGAAGAAATGTGAACAGGGGCCCAGCACTATGGGCCAGGCCTCCACCTGCAGCACCAGCATCCCATGTGGGCGCCAGTTCTAGTCCTGGCTGCTCCACTTCCGACCCAGCTCTCTGCTATGGCCTGGGAAAGCAGTGGAAGATGGCCTGAGTGCTTGGACCCCTGCCTCTCACGTGGGAGACCTGGAAGAAGCTCCTGGCTCCTGGCTTTGGATTGGCCCAGCTCCAGTCATTGCAGCCATCTGGGGAGTGAACCAGCGGATGGAAGACCTCTCTCTCCATCTCTCCCTCTCTCTGTCTGTAACTCTGCCTCTCAAATAAATAAATAAAATCTTTAATAACAAAACAAGATGGGGGTGGTTGGGGAGATGTGTGGCATAGGGGTTAAGATGCTCATATCCCATATCGGGATGCCTGGGTTCCAGTCCTGGCTCCACTTCTGGTTCCAGCTTCCTACTGATGTGCACGCTGGGAGGCAGCAGATGATGCCTGCCTGCTACCCACGTGGGAATCTCCGATGCAGTTCCGGGCTCCTAGCTTGGCCTGGCCCAGCCCCAGCACTCAGGGAGTGAAACAGCAGATGGAAGATTCTCTCTCTCTCTCTCTCTCTCTTTTTCTCTCTCTCCCCACCCCCAACCCCTGCCTCTCAAATAAAATCGGATAAACACAAATTTAAAAAAGAAAAAGGACTGAGTTCACTAATGTGCTTGAGCTGGCATGTTTTTGAGATGCAGAACAGTGTTGCTTAATACACAATTCAAGTTCGGACCAGAAAACATGACCAGACGACAATAATAAAATGCCTGATTCGGGCCAAAACAGCTTTATATGTGGATTCTCCCCTGTTTTATTGGTAAAGCTGACAAAATATCTAAAATGAGGAGCACTCTGACTGTGCAAACTTCAGGTGAGAAGAGGAGAAACCGAGTGGACGAGACAGATTCTTGTCTATGTAGACCAGTTTAGAATGTTGCAGGGGAGTTGATTATTAAAATCCTTAGCCAGGCACAGGTGATTGTATGAATTTAGTTAAAAACAGGAAATACTTCTATGTTGTTTCACCAGTATACTCAAGTTCTTTGGTCTTAAAAAAACTTAAATGTAATATGACATATGTGAAATTTGTTTACCTTAAAAAGTTAAAAATAATTGGAAAAAACATTAAATTCAGAAAATGATCTTAAAATGACACAGAAAAATTTTAAGAAAATAATTTTAGAGTGTGAGCCTCAGCAAAAAAAAAAAAAAATGTCATATTTTGTGTTTCTCCTGTCCTGTGCCACACACCTAACTTACCCTCAGAGCACGTGGCATCCTGGTGGGTACCGGACAGAGCTGGAATCTACTGGGCACAGTTCCACACTGGGCATCATTTACCTCTACAATCTGAACCCGCAACTGAAGACGGTGAGTCAAACAGGCTAAATAAGACGTGCCGTGGCACTGGCTTTATTACAAATGCCCTTGACTTTGAGCGTGAGGGGCCTGGTAGTAGCAACAGGTTCTTGTGCCTCCCTTCTCACTGTGGAGCAAGTGGACACTCGGATGGCCTTGGCTATCCCCCTGGCTTCCGCCTACGAGCACGGATGGGGGGACGGACGGGGGGTCCTCGGACGAGTCACCCTCCCTCTTCTGCTGCTGGCACTGGGCTCCACCGTAGCCCACCCCCGTGCACCCTGGCAGCGCACGGCCGTCTCTGCTCACCCTGGGCTGAGCTCGGTGGGGTCACGCACTCTGTCTCACTCTCCTCCCCGCACACAGTGGCCGCGCTGCTCTAGCCCTGCGTCAAAGGGGCTCCACAAGGGTTGCATCCGAACAAGAGGTCCAGACGCCTGAGCAAGGGCAACCGAACGAGACGGGCACTCACGACGTAATTGAAGGACGTGTCGGCCAGCACCGCGAACTGCCGGAACAGCGTGTGCCGCGTGAACATCTCGTTCTTGAGCATGTGGTAGCTGCAACCAGAGGAGCAATGACAAACAGGTGTAGAGCGACCGCAGGAGCAAGCGAGTGTTCTGCTGGCGCAGGCAAGGAAACCTGCAGATGTTGCCAAGCTAAAGTTCCAACATACTAGCAGGGACTTAGGACTTTAGCCTTGTTAAAGACACGCATTTTCCTGCTGGGAAAAGGCACAGGAGTAACGGCAAGGACCACCTTTAGGGTCCAGACTGGGATTTAGAAACACCTCCCGGCCGGCGCTGCGGGTCACTAGACTAATCCTCCGCCTTGTGGCGCTGGCACACCGGGTTCTAGTCCTGGTTGGGGCACCGGTCGCTCCTCTTCCAGGCCAGCTCTCTGCTGTGGCCAGGGAGTGCAGTGGAGGATGGCCCAAGTGCTTGGGCCCTGCACCCCATGGGAGACCAGGAGAAGCACCTGGCTCCTGCCATCGGATCAGCACGGTGCGCCGGCCACGGCGGCCATTGGAGGGTGAACCAACGGCAAAAGGAAGACCTTTCTCTCTGTCTCTCTCTCTCACTGTCCACTCTGTCACAAACAAACAAAACAAAACAAAACAAAACAAAACACTTCCCATGCACCTTTCAGAAGTGGTTGTCTCTAGATCTAAGGTAATAAACACGTCCGATACACCTGGGACCTTCCATGCCAGAAAGCAAGGGAGTCATCAAGGACGCAGTCAAGAGGACAGCGCAGGGGCCGCGCTGTGGCCCAGTGGTTAAGACACTGCTTGGGGGCTTGCATCCCATCTCGGGGTGCCTGGGCTTTGGTCTCGGCTCTGCTTCTGATGCAGCTTCCTGCTAATACACACTTTGCAAGACAGCAGGGGCTGACTCAAGTAGTTGGGTCCCTGCCACCCAGGTGGAAGGCTTGGACTGAGCCCCCAGCTCCCGGCTTTAGACTGGCCAAACCCCAGCTGCTGAAATTGAGGGCACTGGTGCCGGTGCTGTGGCGTAGCGGGCAAAGCCGCCACCTGCAGTGCTGCCATCCTATAGGAGCACCAGTTCTAGTCCCAGCTGCTCCACTTCTGATCCAGCTCTCTGCTGTGGCCTGGGAAAGCAGTGGAAGATGGCCCAAGTCCTTGGGCCCCTGCACCCACGTGGGAGACCTGGAAGAAGCTCCTGGATCCTGGCTTCTGACTGGCCCATATGTTGCAAATAAATATTTTTTTTAAAAAGAACATGGCTGCCAACTTGAAAAGTTCCCATTCATTTAACATTAGAGCAATCGAGCATCAAACACAATAAGGTCCACCATGTACGTGAACACAGCAAATACCTAATGTTGGTAATCTGGGAACGGTGCAGCCCATCCAGACTGCAAATGATGCTAACATGAGCAGATCTGCGTCAGGAAACACGCTCTGGAGAGAGACGGGAGGAAGGCTGGGCAAGCTTCTACTCGCGCCCAGGAGGGAGCAAAAGCCCCACAGTGTCCAGTGACACAGCTCCAAGTGCGGCTCACAGATCCTGTCGGCTCTCTCAGCAGACATCCAAAACAGGGACAGGAGAATCCAGGAGATCCCCGGAGGAGCTTCTTACCTAACCAGCAGACCCCCACGACAGAGGCGGGAGACGCACAAGGTCTGCAGAACGGTCTAGGAGCCAAACGGACCAGAACCGAGAGGGAAAACAAGTGAAGAAGGCCACTGGACTCCCAGAACCAGACAGGCAGCAAGCAGAGGGACAGAGCGACCCAGAACCGGACGGGAGCAAGCAGAGGGACAGAGCGACCCAGCTGCAGGCAGGAGCTATCTTTCGGGGACAGAGAAATACAACGGAGCGCGCAGTGCCTGGGGCACTGGAGGCTGCGCCACGGAGAATCCTGCCTAGGGTTTGGAACCTGCTAGAGTTTTCCAGGCCGGCTTTAAGAGCTGGGTCCCTCCCGTCCTTTTCTCCCCTTTGCAACGAGGACATCTGCAGCACTGGTGACCTCCGAGTCTCGTGCCTGCCCCGCCGCTGGGCTGGGAGTGAATGATCTGCTTCGTGGTTGCACAGGTGCAGGGGAACTCTGTCCCGGGATGCAGCCCACCCCCAGCTCACGCAGGCCTCCTGAGCTGATGGCTCTTGAATGAGCCTCTGGGCTTGGGCTGGGGCTGTGACCTGAGACTCCAGTGGGAGATACTGGGCAGTGGCCAATGCATTTGGCGCACGGGGAAGGCATGATGGTCTGGGGGTGAATCTGGCTGTGACTCACTGAATGCTGCCCCACCCAGACACCCACATCCAACCCCCGGGGCCTGCAAGTGCACTTCCTAACACAATCGAAAGAACCTCCCACATGTGGTTATGTCAGGGTTCTTCAGGTGGGGTGATTCTTCTGGATTATGTATTGGGCCCAACGTCATCACAAAATTCCTTTCTTTTTTTTTTTTTTTAAAGATTTTTATTTATTTATTTGACAGGTACAGTTACAGACAGTGATAGGGAGAAACAGAGAGAAAGATCTTCCACCCACTGGTTCACTCCCCAAATGGCCGCTATGGCCAGCGCTGCACCAATCTGAAGCCAGGAGCCAGGTGCTTATCCTGGTCTCCCATGCGGGTGCAGGGCCCAAGCACTTGGGCCATCCTCCACTGCACTCCCGGGCCACAGCAGAGAGCTGGACTGGAAGAGGGGCAACCGGGACAGAATCCGGCGCCCCGACCGGGACTAGAACCCGGTGTGCCAGCGCCACAGGCAGAGGATTAGCCTAGTGAGCCATGGTACCAGCCCCATCACAAAGTTCCTTTCAAGAGGGAAACCAGAGGACCCAGTAGGCACAGGAGAAGGCAACGCATTGAGAGGGCGGTGTGGTACCTGCAGCCTCCAACAGGGGTGGTGGGGAAACTTTTCTCTGCCAAGGGCAATTTGCATATTTATACCACCGCTTGAGGGCCACACACAATCATCAACTTAGAAATCAGCCTGTGGTTGCCTTGGCGGGCCCAGATCAGATGACTCTGTGGGCTGAATGTGGCCTGTGGCCTGCAAGCTCTCCACTTTGCCACCGCTGCTCTAGAAACGGGAGGCGCACAGGACGGGCTCTCCCCCAGGAGGAGCCAGACCCACCAGCACCTTGGACTTGATCCTGCAGCCATCACTTGGGTCTCTAACCTCCAGGCTGCGAGATGACAAATGTGTGTTGTTTCAGAGGGCTGCACGTGGGGTCATTCGGCACAGCAGCAACAGGGACCTGATACACAGATCGGGGGACAACTGTGTGATAGTAATTCTGGGAAATCAGTTTCATAGAAAGCGGAACCAGGAGCAGCCGATGTCGTGGCGCAGGACTTAAAGCACCACCTGTGTCGCTGGCATCTCTCAGGAGGACGGCTTTGAGTTCCAGCTGCTCCCCTTCGACCCAGCTCCCTGCTACTTTGCCTGGGAAAGCAGCAGAAGATGGCCCAAGTACCTGGAGCCTTGTCCCCGATGTGGGAGGCCGGGATGGAGCTCCAGGTTCCTGGCTCCAGGCTGGCCCAGCCTCAGACTTTGTGTCCATTTGGGGAGTGAACCAGTAGATGGAAGATCTCTATATATCAGTCTTTCCCCCTCTCTCTGTAACTCTGCCTTTTGAATAAATTAAAAAAAAATTTTTTTAAATAAAATGTAACTAGGAAATAGAATCAAGAAGATATGGAGGGGCTGGAGTCGTGGCATAACAGGTTAAGCCACTGGCTGCGGCACTGGCATCCCATATGAGGACAGGTTTGAGCCTGGCTGCTCCTCTTCCAATCCAGCTCCCTGTTGATGCACCTGGGAAAGCAGCATAGGATGGCCCAAGTGCTTGGGCCCCTGCACCCACGTGGGAGTGGGTGAAGCTTCTGGATCCTGGGTGCAGTCTGGCCCAGCCCTGGCTGTTATAGGCATTTTGGGAGTGAACCAGTGGATGGAAGATCTCTTTCTTTCTTTCTCTCTCTCTTCCTCTCCCTCTCTCTCTCTCTCTTTCCCCTCTCTCTTCCCTCTCTCTGTAACTTTCAAGTAAATAAAAATAAATTTTAAAAAACGAAGATACAGAAAACTTTCATGGTCTTTAAGGTATGAAAATAAAAAGAATCAACCAGTTAAGATATGTTTATCAGGAAACAGCCCAGCTAATTTAAAAGTCAGGTTTACCATAAAATCTAGTAATGAATACTTTTTATTCTTATTATTTCTCAGAGAGCAAAGAAGGATAACTTTACAGCTAATACGAGGAGGCCAGAAGGACTTCGATACCAACAGCAGTCAAGGACAGTATGAGAAAGAAAAAAAAAAAAAAAGCCACTCAACCACATTCGTGAGCATGGACAGAAAGTTCTTAAATGTCAGCAGATGGACTTCCCATTCCCGGAAGGCTGGGGTGGGGGTTCCATGTCCAGTGCTACCCCTGAAGACAGTGGAATGGCCTAGACAGCATGTCCACTTTTAAAGAGACCAGAGAGCCGTGGTAGTAACGTGGACCACAACCAAGGCCCCGGAGCTCTCTGACAGTAGGATGGGGCTGGAGTAGCAAGGTTCTCACTTGGCCGTGGAATTAAAATGCATGGCCTATCCCTTACCCACTTCAAAATATTTGCCCATGATATTTCATAAGAATATTATAGTAATACAGTAATATCACCAAAAAATGACTACATGTCATTGAGTTCACTTTCCCTAAAGTGTGTGATGTTGAGGGCGCCTTGGGGAAGCACGGGGAAGGGGCCCACCCCATCACAGCAAGTCCGCGTGACTGCGGCGCTGTGATTTTTTTTTTATTATTATTTAAAAAGATTTATTTATTTTATTTGAAAGAGTTGCACACAAAGAGAGATCTTCCATCCGATGGTTCACTCCCCAAATGGCCGCAACGGCCGGAGCTGTGCCGATCCAAAGCCAGGGGCCTCTTCCAGGTCTCCCACGTGGGTGCAGGGGCCAAAGGACTTGGGTCATCCTCAACTGCTTTCCCAGGCCATAGCAGAGAGCCGGACAGGAAGTGAAGCAGCTGGGTCTTGAACCAGTGCCCATATGGGATGCTGGCACTTCAGGCCAGGGCGTTAACCCACTGCGCCACAGTGCCAGCCCCCCCCCCCTTTTTTTTTTTTTGACATGCAGAGTGGACAGTGAGAGAGAGAGACAGAGAGAAAGGTCTTCCTTTGCCATTGGTTCACCCTCCAATGGCCGCCGCGGCCGGCGCACCACGCTGATCCGAAGGCAGGAGCCAGGTGCTTCTCCTGGTCTCCCATGCGGGTGCAGGGCCCAAGCACTTGGGCCATCCTCCACTGCACTCCCTGGCCACAGCAGAGAGCTGGCCTGGAAGAGGGGCAACCGGGACAGAGTCTGGCGCCCCGACCGGGACTAGAACCCGGTGTGCTGGCTCCGCAAGGCGGAGGATTAGCCTAGTGAGATGCGGCGCCGGCTGGTGCTGTCTGATTTCCACTGTGGCTGGCGTGAGCTCTGGAGGACGGCCACTGTGAAGGCTGGGCAGCGAGCAGACCTTCTTGCACGTAGGTGAGGCTACACAGCACTACCCTGGAGACTTGGGGGTTTCAGAATACACAGCTGTTTTCCCAGCAAAATGTCTGCTGAGGTCTGGAGCTGCACAGGCCATGAGGCTACAGCCGTAGGAGAAAGCTTTTGAAAGGCAAAGTGGTGCTGTCTGTGTCGACGACAGCCGGGTCTGAGCTCACGGCTGAAGAGCTGCACCTCGGGGGCAGAGGCGGCTGAACCAGAGGCAGATGAGGGCCTGACTCGGCTCCGACCGCGTCCACCTGTCCAAGGGGAAGGGACGAGATACGTCTAGGGGAGAGGCCGGCTCGGCAGGACTGGATGGGTGCTGTGTGGCCAAGGAGATACTGGGACTTTCAGTTCAATAATGAAAAAGAACCCAAATAAAGAATGGGCGGAGGATTCCAACAGATCTTTGTAAAGAAGATACACAAATGGCCAAGAGGCCCAGGGCACGATGCGCCGCGTCGCAGTATCACTGGTCGCACTAATCACAGCTGTGCTGATGGAGCGCTTCCGCACCCCCCAGGATGACTGCAGCCAGAAAGGCCAATAACACACGATGCCGGGGAGGGTGCAGAGAATGCGGAGCCCTCCCTCCCTGCTGGTGCGCTCAGCAAAGACGCAGCCCCTTTGGAAAACAGCCTGCAGTTCCGCAAAATGTTAAGCATGGAATTACATGTCCCAGCCGTCCCTTCCCAGGTAGATACACAAGGAAACTGCAAACACAGGGGCTGGCACTGTGGCGCAGCGGGTTAAAGCCCCGGCCTGCCAGCGCCAGCATCTCATATAGGCGCCGGTTCTAGTCCCGGCTGCTCCTCTTCCGATCCAGCTCTCTGCTATGGCCTGGGAAAGCAGTGGAAGATGGCCCAAGCCCTTAGGCCCTTGCACCTGCGTGGGAGACCCAGAAGAAGCTCCTGGCTCCTGGCTTCATAACAGCCCAGCTCTGACCATTGTGGCCATGTAGGGAGTGAACCAGAGGATGGAAGCTCGCTCGCTCGCTTGCTCTCTCTATTTCTCTCTCTCTCTCTGCCTCTGTCTGCTTTGATAGGGCCTGAATAAATTGCTCTCCAGGCATCTGGCTTGCTGATCTCTCAAAGCTGAAACACTGCAATAGGGATTCCCACAGAACCTTGAGTTGTTTCTCTTTTTTTTTATTATTATTTTTTGACAGGCAGAGTGGACAGTGAGAGAGAGAGACAGAGAGAAAGGTCTTCCTTTGCCGTTGGTTCACCCTCCAATGGCCGCCGCGGCCGGCGCGCTGTGGCTGGCGCACTGCACTGATCCAAAGCCAGGAGCCAGGTACTTATCCTGGTCTCCTATGGGGTGCAGGGCCCAAGCACTTGGGCCATCCTCCACTGCACTCCCTGGCCACAGCAGAGAGCTGGCCTGGAAGAGGGGCAACCAGGACAGAATCTGGCACCCCGACCGGGACTAGAACCCGGGGTGCCTGCACCGCAGGTGGAGGATTAGCCTAGTGAGCCGCGGTGCTGGCCCGGGCTGTTTCTCTTTCAAGTGTCTGATGACTCCTCTGCTTTTAGCCAGGTATTCTGCATTTCTTTTCAAAGTAGCTGAGGGTATCTGATGTTGATTTACGTGCAGGTGCAGAGAGGAGTGGAAGGCCCCCAAGCCTAGGAGACAATCAGTCCCGTCCTCCGAGGAACTGTACCACACCACCAGCCGTACCTGTTCCGGAGGATGACGAACTTCCTCTCCCAGTTCTTGCTGATCTGCTCGGCTTCCTTCCGGTATCTGTAAGAGAGTGACAGCAGTGAGGGGCCGGAGGGCCCCGGGACTCGGCCCTGAGCCGCTGCAGCCCCACCTTTCTATCTTCCTGGTCTCCGACTCCAGCGTGGCCTGCAGCACCTCTATCTGCATCTGCAGAAATCTTCTGTCGTCATCCTTTGCCATGGAAACAAAGTCACAGAGATGAGGACGAGCACAACATCTCCCCCTTTCTCCATGAACCCCGGAGCAGGACTCTCAGAGGGAGTCGGGGTGGGGGGAACAGGGAGTTACATTTATTTGCAAATCCCTATAAATGGGAAGAACTGGAGACCCCTGGCCTCGCGATGAAGTCACGGGCAGCCGGACTGCATCTGGATCAACCATCCTTCTCCTACCCTGCGCCACGGTCATTTTTTCGTAAATCTTTCTTTCTCGCCCTCTCCGTTAATAAGCAGGGGCCCCTTCTGCTCCATGTTTTATTAATACAGGTGTCAGGAAAGGATCGGACCAACCCAATCACACTAGAGCCCTCGGCGTCCTCCAGTACTATCTAGAGGACAATGCTTTTAGCAAAAGGAACGAACTTCTAACTGTGGATGTGGACAGTCGTGAGATTTGTTTGGGTGTGGCAGGGCTGTACCGCAGGGTCATACTAAAGAGGCAGTCGGGTTCTCTGTCCAAGACGGACTCTCGGTGTAGGCTCCCAAGTCAGCGCTCTTTCCTGAGAGTAGCCAACATCGACACCAACGCTAGCCAGGTAAACAGCAGGGGTCCTGCTCCTCAGGGGTATACCTTAGTCCACGACAGTTTCACCTTCTTTTCTTCTTGTGCCACAAGTGTTAGACTTCTAGACTGGCAAGGGAATTAACCAAGGTCAAGATAACATTGCAAATCAGGGCTTGAAGATGCAGCTTGTTTGTAACTTGTAGAAAGGAAACAGACTTGAAACATGTCAACCATCACCCCCAAGGGCCTTCATTACCTATAAAATTTAAAAGCTCAGTGCTGGTACCTGACATTCAAATTGGACAAAGCCCATTAAAAACAATTTCATGTCTCTTTCATTTTTTATTTGAAAGGCAGAGAAGAGAGAGGGAGGAAAGAGAGAGAGGGAGAGGGAGAAGGAGCGAGAGAGGGAGTGGGAAAGGGAGGGAGAGGGAGGGGTTAAGGAGGGAGAGGGAGAGGGAGAGGGAGGGGT